AAAAAATGAAGCCAATCTGGGCTTTAAACATTCAGGATTATGAGAAAATTTAAGAGCAACTTTGAATCTCAACAGCGATGAGAAATATTCTAATGTACTTAAAGAAAAGTTATTCAGTGTTACTACCAAAATATATTTTTCCTTGAGCAATATTAATATTTAAATGTTTTCTTCCTAATAAGACTATTTTGAAAAGTACTCAATGATGTGTATGTATTATTTGATAACATTAATTTGCATGGTGAAAGTGAAACCTGAAATTTTGTAGATTATTTTCTCATCTCTTAGTTTCAAATGTAACTAAACAACTTTTCCTCTGAATTTAGTTACTGTTCTACCATAATCCAAATTTTAAACGAGGCTATCCTCAGCTGTTAACAAGAATGAAGAGAAGAGTTGGGATTAAAAATGCTTCTCCAGCATCTGCGTCATTACTTCAAGATTTCAACAGGAAGCACTTTAGAGCAGGGAGTAATGTAGGTAACCAGAATTCTGGTTTAACTGCTGCAGGTAGTGGAGAAAGTTTATTTTCAACCTCTACAAATGTAAATGTGCCTCTAATAAGGAAGCCTTCCACCAGCCAGATAACTGCTAATACAGCTGCCCCAATCAGAAGTGTGTTTTTGCCTCCATCATTAACTCCACCTGGACCATCAGAGCAAATGCTAACAAATCAATACGCTATTTCAAATCAACTGACCACTTTTCACCTGCCCTCGCATAGCAGCTACACTGACTCAACTGGTCACTTTGTAAATTTTGTTACTCCTACAACTTCTACCTCTCAGTACCACATAATCTCTCCCACTGGGAATAGTGATTTTGGACTAAGGGTGGAAACTTCTACAGGGTATCCTGATTTGTCAACCAATGAGGCAGGCACCTTCTGATCTGTTAGTAGGCAATCCATGTCTCCTAAAGTCGATGACGGCTGATAGATCTGACAGCTCTCTTTCAAGGTTAACTCATCAGCCCTCTACATTACATCAACATCATCCAAATTACAACTGATATCCTACCAAAAGAGTACCAGATTATGCAGGGTAACAAAGTTTACAATTTTTATATTGACAAATACCAATAAAATACCTGCAAAGCTATTGTTTGAACAATAAACTCACACTGTTCACATTCACTGTTTCATTTTCCTTATTTTTTAAAATAGTTGAGTAAAATGGTTTACTTTTTTCAGAGTCAGACTATTACACTATTTTAATAGATGGGCTTCTTTTGCTTGACAGGGACATCTGATGTGTTCCTTCCAGTATCTTTGTTTAAAAAGGAGTAAACCACAGGAATTGGGTGCGGGGTGGGGGAGAAGAAGAAACTGGAGAAAGGGGAAAGAATAAGCTATTTGTGAAACAGGATGTTGTTGTTGTTGTTATTTGCCATGGAGTTGGCCCCGACTCAGAGCGACCCCTCCTTGGGTTTCCCAGGCAGTATCACTATGGAAGTAGGAATGCCCAACCTTCCTTCCGAGGAGTGGCTGGTGGGTTTGAACAGCCAGCCTTCTGGTTAGCAGTCAAGTGCCTTAGGCACTATGCTACAAGAGCTCCTGAAACAGGATAGAATGACTCAAACAAGAGCCTAAATTATGACAGTAAGGCCACACTTTTTGCCTTTAGTTTTTCTTCAGTTCCAATGTATTCTCCCAGTTATTTCAGTCTCTTTCAATTTTACACTGCAAAGAAAGCAGTGTTCATTAAGTATATTTCACACTTCAAGGGACAGCATATTCTAGCCAGTCCAGTACCATGATCACCATTATTTATGTCACTACTGAAATCATAAAAGGCATCATGTCATAGTCCTACGTAGAATCACCATCAGCACACGGTAAAATTTTACCACTTTGCCCTATTGTCATCAAAACATTACCGTTAATTTCTACATTTATTTCCACCCATCACTAATCCACCCTTCTCTCTATTTACTCATACTTGTTTACCATGTTGCATCATGCTTTATTGAAAGACAGCCTTAACTGCCTATCCTACCAAATAATGACTCTTAGATCCCGGCCTCAGACTAAGCTATTCCCTGGAATTTAGAAGCTTCTTTGCCTATTTACCCTTTAGTCCTCTACACAGGTAACACTTTTTCCAGAAGGCACTTCCTGTATACAGCTGTAGTCTCCTTATCAGACACCTTGAACTGACCAAAAGTATCTGCTATATAAATTTTCAGTATTTATTGAATGACTGGTAAGTGACAGACAATTTCAATGCATCAAAATATATTTTCATTGCTGAAGAATAAATGTCCCACAGCTTATTAGCTGGCAAGCACTCTTAACTTGTAATTTCATTTTCACAGCACTTGGGCTAAATTTCCAATTGTCATTTGAGCCAGTTGGCAGTACTGCTTACAAGAGAAACAAACAAACAAACAAAAAAAACCCAAACTCACTGACGCTGAGTCGATTCGACTCAGAATGACCCCTCCTACTTGGGTTTCAGAAGCAGTATCTCTGTAAAAGAAGATTGACCCATGTTCTTTCGGAGGAGCAGTTGGTAGGTTTGAACCTCCAGACTTCTCGTTAGCAGTCAAATGCCTTAGATACTACACCACCAAAAACTCAGTATTAATTATCTTACCCTGTACCTTTCAAGATCAAGTGTTTTCTCCACATATCCTGGGCCTACAGGTTGTACGCTCACTGCCATGAAATTGACGTATCTCATCTCAGTACATACACCATCATCTCTTTCCACTCACCACCTACTTATACTCACACTTCTGTCTAAAAGGCACAGGTGAAATGCCAAATTTTCACAATAAGTCTTTGTACACCAAATGAACCCCACACTTTTTGTTCCGTACCCAAGAAGCAAGGAAGTGGAGATTATCTCTTAACTGAGGTCACTCGCATTCAGTAATTACAGTACTAATATATGTAGACAAAATCTTCCCAAAAGCTCAAAGATATCTATAGATGTTGGGAACAGAGGAATGTCCAAAAAATAACTTGATTCTGCCCCATTGCTTTGTGCACCATTGTTCTCATGTATGTGACCTGAAAACACTGCAGTCAAGGCCACGGAGACTGAGGTTTCTGACCACAATGGGGTGTCTAAGTCAGCTGATCAAGTTTAACAGCAAATCTGGCACCTGGTGAGGTGCCAGAGATGCCTGAGTGGTGGTGGTGGTGGTGGTGGTGTGTGGGGTTTCTCAAAGGTCCAGGAAAGCAGGGAAATATCCCATCCAAGGCCAAAAAGACTAACGGTGGTGGTGGTGGTGGTGTGTGGGGTTTCTCAAAGGTCCAGGAAAGCAGGGAAATATCCCATCCAAGGCCAAAAAGACTAACTTTTTTCAGGAGTCACAGTGACACATGCAGTGGTTGTTTATGAACTGGCAATAAGTTTTCAGGTTCTGGTGAGTCAGCTTTGACTCATACTGACCCCATGTGCAGCAGAACAAAACACTGCCCACTTCTACTATGCTCATAATTGTTGCTATGTTTGAGACCACTGTAGAGCCACTGTGTCAATCCATCCACTCGAGGATCTTCCTCTTTTGCACTGACCTTCTCTTTTATTAAGGAGGATGTGCTCTTCCAGGATATGATTCCCCGCAAAACAGGACCAAAGTACACAAGAAGTCTCACCATCCTTGATTTTACGGATGATCCCAGCTGCTTCTCCCAAGGAAATTTGTTTATTATTCTGCCATTAGAAACAGAGACTTTTAATTGTTAGTCCAACTTACTATGGTGGCCTTGTTTGGATTTATAGTGACAAGCTGGCGGGCTGGGGGTTGTGGTGGGGTTGATCAGCTCAATCAGCAGCTAGATTCTAATTGACCTCATCAGAGAATTGGCCCTTCCTTAGGCATCCTCAGAGTAACACAGACAGGTCAATCAGCAACCACAGTTTGTTTTCACAATAAGATGCCCCAACTCCAGTGTGTGGTTTTCCATGTTGCACACCCAATAGGCCACTGGCAACAGCATGAGGCAATGAAAACAGAAGATGTATCAGTTGACCAGAGTGAGAACAACCTAGAATTCTAAGTACCTGATGGAGTACCATTTGTGGTTCAGCACAAAAGGTTGTGAGATTGAATAGCCATAGCAGCCCAGTGATTGCTATCACATCATTTAGGGAAACTTTAGTGACAAAAGGTGTCTACCGAGCCAGAATGTTTTTCTCATAAAGTGGGAGGAATCACTAGATGTTAAGGCTTACTATACAGATACTGTAATCAAAACTGCATGGTTTTGGCAGAGGAGGAGGAGGTGTACACAGATCAATCCAATTGTTGTCATTGTTAGGTGCCATCGAGTCAACTCTGGCTCATAGATACCCTGTGTACAACAGAATGGAACACTGCCCCGTCCTGTCAGACTCACAATCTTTGCTACACCTGAGCACACTCTTGCCACCACTGTGTCAATCTATCTCTTTGAAGGCAATCCTCTTTTCTCACTGACTTTACCAAGCATGATATCCTTCTCCAAGAAATGGTCCCTGGTTCCTTCTGACAACATAACCAAAGTAGGTGAGATGGAGTCTGGCCATTCATACTTCCAAGGAGCATTCTGACTCCACTTCTTCCAGGACAGATTTGTTCATTATTTTGGTAGTCCACAGTATTTCCAGTATCCTTCACCAAGACAATAACTCAAAACCATCAACTATTCAATCCAATAGAACAGAAAAATCAGACAGAGATATACGTATAAACAATTGCCTTTGATAAAGAGTCAAAAGCTAAATTTCATTGTCAGGAAAGTCTTTTCAACAAATGTTCCTGGAAAAATTCAGCATCAGCAGGTGAAAATGAAAATGACCTCAAGTTACACCTTACAAAAAAATTAACTCATATTTGATTAGAGATTCTTTAAATGACAGATGTGTATAATATAAAACATGGAACTTTTGCCCAGAAGATGTAAGAACAACTGGACTTACGTTCCTGCCTCAAAGAGTATAAACCAAGTAAAACAAAATAGAAGTAACTACGGTTTTCAAGAGAGCGTGTGTGTGTAAGCAGAGAAAACACAGATGTTTGAGACATAAGAAACAATGAGGTAAGACCTATGATGACTTTTTTATAGCTTGGAGACTTTCCAGGTAGAGGCAGAGTTTGACAAGTCACTGAATTCAGGAGAGAGAACAACGAACACATGAGCTACCACAGTGCAACAAAATGACAGACAGATGGTAGAGAAAATGTATAGTACAAAAATATCCAGCACAGAACAAGGAGAAATTTCCAATGTTGGTATTCAATGAAGGTTACCAAGGGTACAAAAAAGGCTTGGAAACTCCCTATAAGAGAAAAAAATAAAACCAACTCAGAATTAAAACTAAAATTCTAACTAAATTACCAAAGATATTCAAAGTTATTTAAACTGAAGACCATCTATTCACAGATTTAAGTAGGGACATGACAAGATATAAAAACAAACTTCTACAGATGGAAATTTCACAGCCAGCGATAAAATTCACTGGATGCTCTGAACAGCAAACTAGACATTGAAAAAAGATTAGTGTACTTAAAGATGCCATCATCTGTCAGTTTGTCATACTATGGTGGATTGTGTGTTGGTACAATGGAGAAGCTATAAAACTAATACCTTGGACAATGACTGTGTCACCTTGGTAAGCAGGTGCCAGTGGAGCTTTCAGACTAAGACTAGAAAGAAAAGTCTGACAATCTACTTTTGAAAATCAGCCAATTAAAACTTATCAACTTGCTCTGGAATGTCATCAAGAGGGTTCAGTCACTGGAGAAAGTCATCATGTTTGGGGAAATAGAGAGTCAGTGAGGGAGACCATCAGTGAGATGATTTAGCACAATACTAGCAATGATGCACTAAAACATGGTGGGCATTGTGAGAATGACAGAGGACCATAGTAGTGTTTCATTCTCTTGTACACAAGGTCACAATAAGTCAATCAAGTGGACAGCAGTGTTGTACCTATCGACTTGAAAGCTCAACATAAGGAGTTCCATTCTAGCCAAAATTGATATATATGCTTAATTCCTACAAAACTTTTAGCAAA